TCATGATTGTCAAGAATTGATAAGGAAAATCCTTACAGATAGGATGTCTGTATGCGCGCTTGTGCTCATGTGCACGGGCCTGTGAAAGCACTCTGTTTTGTTCAGCTCAGGTGTCCCCAAGAACAGGACTGTGGCATGCTAGCCCTTGACTTCAAATGCACTTTTATGCTGAATTTTTCTCGCTGTTCAAACTTTCACACTGATATGTAAAGTAAGTGAGTTTTTACTCTCCTTATCTTTATTAGTAACATTGGAATGCAGCTATTTCACATGTGATACACTTGTTACTGTGCTCTGAGATGTTTAATTTTAAAAACTCCCACTTTTTAAAGCAGTGAAATGATAACTGGTGGGCCAGAGGGCCTCATGAGCCATCCTTCAGTTAGGCAAGTATTATAGCAAAGGACCAAGTGGTTTAAAGAGAAATGAGTGTCTTTGCTTAGCTTCCCCACTCGACGCTTGAGCTTAGTTCTGGATGTCTTACCATCCATCTTTTTATTGAGTGAGGCGAACTGAAAGGAAACCCATAGCATTTTTCTTTATCTACAAGAAAGTGTATGAAGATGAACATCTTGAATTTTAATCCACGAGATAGCTAAAAACTTTTGTCTGCTAGCCATATCAGAATAGGAGGAATCTTTAAAATTCTCTGTAAACCAATGAAAATAAAAGAAAAACTTGACAATAACCTCTACATTTTGTTTTTCTGTAAATCCAGTTTTCCACTACAAGTAGAAGTCAGGCATGGTAGCTCATGCATGTAGTCCCAATACTTAAACCACCAAGTGAGGCAGGGGATTTATGGATTTGAGGCTAGCCTGGGTATCTTGTAAGACTGTTTCAACTACAATAAGAAACAAAAACAAAAGCAGAAAGAACCAGGTTATTTAAGCAATTCTTGCACAACCTTTAATAATCTGGTTGGCTTCACAATCCTGAAACCAGGTTCCCTGTTTGGTTTCACTTCTATAAAACAGATACTTTCATATAAGTGGAAACATTTTTTCCTCAAAGCAATGATTCAAAACATGCTCCTTATATTAAGGATTATGTAACCACATTTTTGTAAATGCCCGCTGTGTAACTTTTTCCTATTACGTGGTTCTTTTTCAATTAATTTGATCTTCTGCTGGTATAGGGGCCAATAGATCTGTGAATATTCTGTGGGTGTGTCCAAGTATAAGTGTGTGTATATATATATATATATATAATGTATATATTTTCCAGCTAATACCTCAGATGTGTGATTTTTTAATAAATCCCATACTGTTTGCACAGAGCAGGGCTTCCATTAGCAGTAGGTATTCTTATTTCAAAATGTGACCATTAGTGAAGAGGATTTCAGTGATGTGAAACCTTTCAGTTGATGTCCATGTTTTAATCCTGATTCCCAGTTTAAGGCCCATGCGTCAAGTAAAATTGTATCTTTCTGAGTCTGGTAACCCAGAAGTGGTCCTTGAAATGTCCTGGTTTAGAAGTTATTAAAACTCGGGGTGACTGCTTGCTGAAATGTCTAGGAACTGCATAGAGGCAATAGACACCTGATGTAAGTGCCAGCAAGATTCCGCTTAGCCCTCCAGTGGTACCATGAACACTGGAAGGGACTTTTGAGTGACATTACATAGCATTTTCACATTACCTTCAGAATGAATTGGTATTTATAATTTATTTATACTAAAAACTGCTTTATTTTTGGTCTTTAGGTTGCTGTGTGAAACTTTCCATTTAAAGTTCTTGTTCATTTGTTTGTTTGTTTTTAAGCTGCAGGTCATTTCCAGGGTGTGATATAGATTTTCAAGGTCTGGTGAGATTTGAATGGAAGCCTTGTGTTAGGAAAATGAAGTACTATTGATAAAGGAGATCTTCACAGTGCATTCAAGATCACATAATTAGGTTTAAAAATGGAAGGTCTGATTTGTAAAAATTTAATGTTATATCAGACTTATCTAAGATTTCCTGTGAGAACTTAAGCTGCTTTTGATTTTTAATGAATGTTGTAATGAATGATTTATGAATTTTTGTCTTTCAGTCTGTAATTTATCTCAACATATTAATAAAAAGAAGGGATGTTCTCACCATAAGAGACTTGTCTTCATTATATTTTATCCTTTTGTTTTTTGAGACAGAGTCTCATTCCGTAGCTCTTGCTGTCCTGGAACTCACCCTGTAGACCAGGCTGGCCTCGAACTCATAGAGATCTGCCTGCCTCTCCCTCTTGAGTGCTGGGATTAAAGGTGTGTGCCACCACCTACTGGCATATTTTATGGTCTTCATATGTTCATTCTTTCATTCATTCAATCATTCAATAAATGCATAAATCTCTGTTGTATTACAGGTCATGAGCTGAGAGCTGGGAATTAGTCACTGATCAAGACAAAGCTCTAAGTGTAAATTTAATCAATAAAATATTATTGTCAAGGAAATAAATCTAGTTTTAATCTTGATACATGTGAGCGGATCACAAAGGACAATGAGAACATTCCCCTAGCGCACCTGAACTGTCCTGGAGAGGTAAAGGAAGATTTCACTGAGAAAGTAAACTTAAGCTGAAACCAAAAAGGGGAAAAAAGAGGTGAAATACTAGAGAAAGGCTTCATATAGTGTGTGCCAACTGTCATCCTGAAAATATTAGGATTCGTGGCAGCTTAGGTTGCTTGCACAAGATCAAGCCAGTCAGCATTCTAGCATGGAGTGGGGAGGGGTTCATGGGCCCTAATTGAGGAGTTATGGACTGTTGATGGCTTCTGAAAGAGAGGGTGTCAGTTTTCTTTAAGGGTTGTCCCATGTAGGTTGATTGTGCTCCATTGGATAGTCCCACAGGCCCAGGAGTATATGAGTAGCACAAACTGAACTTGATAGATTATCGGGAGAAGGGAAAAAGGACACCATGTTTAGGGGTATGGAAATGGGGTGGACTTTGGAGGAGTCTTATCAGAATACATTGTATGAAATTCTCAAAGAATAAAAGCACTAAAACTTTATGGAAATGAAACCAAACTTGTGGGATGATTTAGTATAAGGTAGGTAGAGAATTAAGATAGGGCCCTAATCTTCAGAAGACGATATGCAAATCATGGTGATGATATTACACCTCAGGTCAGTTGTCAAAAACCTTAGACCTTTAAGGAGGGAGTTATAGGATCAGATTTGGGTTTTTAGAGTATAATTTTAGTTGTTCTCTGGAGGCTACGATGATATATTTCTAACAACTTGCTGAGCACCTGGTCATATGCACACTTTTAGCGGTTTTGTTTGCATTATTAAGTGGCGGTGTAGCTTGTGTCTTCAGTATCTCTCAATGGTTTACCTGATCACATATCCCCCAACATGCCCCATCTTGATGTCCCATTGCAAAGTAACGGAACCAATTAGTCGTGAAAAGAAACTTCTAATAATGAGCCCAAACTAAGTTGACTATTAGACTGATAATAAGCTTAACACAGATGGAGTCTGATTTGGTCTCAATGACGAGAAGTAAGGGCTTCAATCAGGAACTGAAAAATGTACATGTGAGTCATTGTTAAACAGAATGCAAGCAAAGAGGTCAACAAATACAACTGTTGGTTTACAGAGTTGGAATTCCAAGACAAGTAGAAGGAGAAACAGGCTCCTTGGTGTTTTGAGAGCTTCTGGGTTGGAGCACGGTGATACAGGAAGGACATTTTTCAGCTTTCAGTAAGCAAGAGCAGATGAAGACAGATCACAGTTGAAAAGGGTAGGTTCCAAACGGATTCACTATGGAAGGCGTAAAACTGCAAGATAATAACACAGGTGCCATCACTTGAAGAGTTAGGAGACCGGTGAGAATGGGAGCTGAATCATGTTATGCAAGAAAGAAATTAGCCAGCCCATTAGAGCCGGCACCCAGGAGACAAAGACAGGTAGATTTCTGTGAGGCTGAGGCCAACTTGGTCCACATAGCAAATGCTAGGCCAGTCAGATATACAGTGAGACCCTATCTCAAAATAATAATTTTTAATTGAAGTATTTTAATAGTGAAAAGGCAAAGACTTTTAAGAATGTCCCTTTCAATTTCTCATGTCACTTGAAACAATCTGAACTGACTAGGCGGAGGTCATTTGTTGAGCTCAGTAGTTAACAGTGCCATCCTCCCAGACAATTGTAGGTAATACAGCATTTCCTCTATGTCTTTGAGTGTTTGCGCTCTTACTTTTAGGGTTCGGAAATGAAGATTAGGCATTTATTCCCATACATCTGCCTTTTTTTTTTTCAAGGTACACTACTGTTAAGAATACATGAGGTAAGAGAAAATTTGTAGCAAAAGCCACCAATTTCATTTTTCCTGAGACCCCAGACAGTCACTGGGCTGTGACTTTGATCCGAGGTGATTTCTGTTTGTTTCTGGGATTCTACAGAAGTCCACTAAGCTGACTACCAGAAGAATTACCAAAGCGTCAATAATGAGAAGCATTGGGCCAAAGCAATTGGACTGTTCTTTTTTTGTTAGCATTCTAGTCTTCCCCGTACGGTAGGCTTTCTTAAATGTACAAAACACCAAACAAAAGATAAGACAGTTTTTAGAAGGCACAACTAATGCAGACTCAGAACCTAAGAGGCAACCCAGTACTTGCATGTTTAAAACAGACGTGACAAACGAGCCTACCGCTCATGGCTCCTGAACTGACTTTAAGTGAAAATTCAAGAGTAGGAAAATGGGGTCATCTAGGGACCTGGGACTTCTATCAAATAGGCTGTTCAGTCCGTGCTCCTCAAATGTCTTCATTCATAAAATTGTATGTGTGTGTGTGTGTGTGGTTTTTAAGGAAAAGGATTTATGGAAAAGGGTGTGCATACTCGCACAGGAACGTCTTCCGCTGTAGGTGTGATGGGTGAAAAAGAAGGTGCTGGGACCTCAGGAGCTAGCCGGGCGGCTATTGGCGCAGCGCGCAGGCGCGGTTTCCGCCAAGTCTCCCCGGAACTTCCGAATCGCCGGGAGCGAGGGTATAGGAAGTTCTTCCTGGAGCGCAGCGGAGGTCACGAGTCATGTGACTGGGGCTTGACAGGCGGCTTCCGAGAGGCGACTGAACTGTGGGGATACCCGGGCAGGTCGCCCCAGGCTGGAGCGCGCGAGGGTCTGCAGAGGTCGCCCCTTCTCCCGCGCGGGGACCCCTTCTGTCCGGGCGGGCGGAGGTGGGCCGTCGGGGCTGGCCACACGGACGGGTTTCCAGACCCAGACCCAGAACTACGGCTCTCGCCGGGCCTGGCGAGGGTGGATCCCGGGATGCTGGGTCTAGGAAGGGAAAAAAGCCTGGGGTGCTGGGGGAGTCACAGAAGTTTCTCTTCCAGGCGTATAGGTTGATCCTGCGGGAGAAAGGGGTTCATCATGGCGGATGTGAGTGACACCCGTTCCCGATAAAAAAGAGGATGTGGGAGGGTTGCATGAGGCCACTGAGTCGGGAGAGGTAGAAATTGGTTTTGTGCTGAGCCCTGCCCATCTTCCCGGGTCCGTTGTAGCGGACTGATATGAGAGTGGACTCGCTGGGTCCTGAGTTTCTATCAGGAATGGTTGTGGTGAATCACTAATGTACCTTAGCCTGAGAGAACTGTATTCTTCCCACTTCCCAATCCTATTGGGGCTCACAGGAGCTCCGGGCAGTTAACACTTACTTCTAAAGGAGGAATGGCCGCTTTCTCATCAGTACCTGTTCCGTTGGTATTGTTCGTGATTCCCACTGAGTCCTCGTAATGTCTCATTGTTGTGATCTAAAAGGATTTCTAACGGGTGCCCCTTCTGCAACCTTTGTTCCTTTTTTGTGTGTCTGTTTAAGACGGGAGCAAAAGTAAGTTCGTGGCGGTGACATGTAATAAGATACTCATTCAGGGTTGGAGATAAAGGTTCAAATCAGCCCACGTTTAGGGAAGAGCGCATAACTGATACCTCAGTTGTCAGTGATTGTTTCCAGATGAATTCGTAATGAGACGAGATCGCCTTCTGTTCTCTTAGTCTGAACCATGTTCTATGTTAAATGTATCACATTGTCGTTATCTTTGGTCAAGAGACTGAATGAATATAAGAGTAGTTTATCTAATTGACTTAGGATCATTAAAAATGGTTGTGGAAAATTTCTATGGACATGGGAGGAGGTTCATAGACTGTTGCCAAGTGAATACGGTATTATCAGGACGTAATTATTGTGAAATGCATCTCGCTTTAGGGCAAGCATATATTTGTGTTTCCCTGTGCCAGGTACACTGACATACATACGTTACTAAATTTTTCAGCATTCTTACCATGTAGAGTGTGTGATTATCCCTATATATACATATAATATAATGTATATCCCATATATATATATATATATATATAGAGAGAGAGAGAGAGAGAGAGAGAAACCCAATGAAACTGAGGCCTAGAAAAAAAGCTGAAACCCCCAGTTAAAAATGGTGACTTATGTCCTTTAAGGGGGATGTGGCAGGGCTATGAAAGCAGACTGTAATATGATCTTTAAAACATTATTCTCTTTCAGGATCTAAAGCGATTTCTGTACAAAAAGTTGCCAAGGTAAGAAAATACTCATTTATTGCCAAATAAATTCTGTGTAACATTAATCTTACAAAGTATTTTGTTTCACCCTTTTAGGTTAGTATTTTATATGTGTCGTGGTGATTATTTCCCATATTTAAATTCATAACTAACCCCAAGTATCATAAGTGATGGCTTGAGTTTACAGATAGATAACATAAAACTAGAGCTGTCACATGACTTGTTTATGCTCAATAGGAAATAGGTGCTGGAGCCCAGAACTTAGATTTCTTGCCATTCTAAAGTTTTTAAAAACGACTTATAGTTGTTTATTGGGTTGTAAGTTGGATCTTTAGGTTGGAAAAATGAATGTTAGCTTGGACTCTTGCTTTCATTGTTGAAAGTGTTCACATATTAGCTTATGCTTTTACTCTGATTATAGATCAGTAGAAATTAAAGACAGCGTGTTCTGGTTTTAATTTATATGTTCTATTTTTCTTTTTCTTTTTTTGGTTTTTCAAGACAAGTTTTCTGTGTAGCTTTTGAGCCTCTCCTGGAACTAACTCTTGTAGACCAGGCTGGTCTCGAACTCACAGAGATCTGCCTGCCTCTGCCTCCTGAGTGCTGGCATTAAAGGCATGCACCACCGCCCAGCTCATATGTTGTATGAAGAAAACACTATTGGTGTGTTAAATGAAATAATGGGAAATCTTTAATTTTAATTATCTTCTTGTGACTAAATGGTCAACTATGGAGACTAGCTGCTGGTTCTTTTTCACACAGATGGCCAGAATGATGGCAGTTATAGCTTTACATGCTAGCACATGACCACAGAAACATGGTACAGGCTAAAGCCATGCAGGGAAACGTTAGTGACTAGTGGGAGAACTAACAGTTGCTTTCTGACCTTATAACTCTTCCAACATTAAAACTTTTCTCATTACTGCTTACAAATAGTTTTTGGAATGCAGACTGTCCTCGTTTGTTCTACTTTTGTGATAAAACACTGGCTGAGAGGAACACAGGGAGAAAGGATTTGTTTCGTCTTGCAGACTACCAGTTCATCATGAAAGGGCAGGCCTGGGGCTGAAGCAGAAGCAGAAGCTGTGGAGGAGTGCTGCTTATTCACTCGCCTCCCCGCGTCTTGTGTGGAGGTTCCCTCTTCCCACATGACCCTACCTTGGATCTACTTGCCAAAAAACGCACCAGTACACAGACCGATCCACTGACTGGTTTTTGCTTAGTATACTAAAATGTTAGAAACACCGTGAAAGTGAGCTGGGCGTGTGGATGGGCCTGGAATCCCAGCATTGGGAAGGTGACAGAAGTGGAGATCCTGTCTCAAAGGAACAAGGATGGTTAGATGTCTCAGCGGGTAAAGGCAGTGGCTGTGAAACTGATGCGGGTGCAGTGACACGCACGTTGTCTGCTGACCACATGCTTGCACACATAGATAAAAACATTTGAAACAGCAACTGAAAAGCAAAAGAAACTGAGGTGGTTTTTGTTTGTTTGGTTGGTTGGTTTTTATCGAGTCATTTCAGGGCGACTGTTTCTTTTGTTTGCCTTCCGATAAGGAATAGGCATCTTTTCTACTCTGCCACCTCTGATTGGCTTCCATGTTCCATCCTTTGTGTTTTCCATACTGTGAAGTCCCTGAGATTTCCTTTGATGTTCATGTGTGTGTTTTTATCCAACTGCTTTCCTTATGGTAAGGCTCATACATGAGATATGTGCAATTTAAGCATGCTGTAAAGGGCTGGGAATGTATGTCAGTGATAGAGAATTTGCCACGCGCTTGGAAGGTTCAGTCTGCAGTACTTCCAAAGGGGCAGAAGAATATTTGCTATAGCATAACGGTAGGGAAGGGACTAGTGCCACCCTTTTCACAAGGACTGAGTGCACTCTGATTCATATTTGCAGACCATTTCTTGAAACAGATTTATTACACCTTAAGAACAGAAAGAGAAAGAAGGAGGAACAATAGCATTGCGAACACTCAGATTTGTTGCTACAAGTGTGGGTTTAGTGGGGTTCATGCATTTTTGTTGTTTTTGTTTATTTTTAAATTGTTATATATGAGTGTGGGTGTTTTATGTGCATGTTTGCTTGTGCACTGTGTGTATGACTGGTGTCAAGTTGCCAGGACTGGAGTTACAGATGGTTGTGAGCTGCTATGTAGGTGCTGGGAATTGAACCTGGGTTCTTTGGAAGAGCATCCAGTCCTCTCTACTACTGAGCCATCTCTCCAGCTTCATAGGTCCATGGTTTTAACTGCTTTATCTCTCTACTTCTCCACAAAACCAGACTAGTTCCAGGTATCAATACAATGTATTTTTAATTCCCTGTTAAATATCGTTCTTGGGTTTATATTTTAAAATCTAGTTGTGACCCCCTTCCCAATATCTCAGGCTTTCCATGTTTTAAAATAGCCAATATTTTATAATTATATGAAGAACAGTTTGGTTAGTTTTTTGTGGCAGGATTGCTGAGATGATGGGGAGACAGTTAGGGGCTGAATCAGGGTCTTATGTGTGTTCCGCAAACACTCAGCCACACCATAGACCCCAGCTGATGTCTTCAATACTAGTGGAAGGAACACTGTTTTTAGAATGAAAATAGTTTGTTTAGTAAGCTTTAGATTTTTGCTGATTAATAAAATTTACTTCTAAAATATGTCTGTTGGTGGCCCAACAATTATTAGTAAAATGTATGCAGATAGCTCTTGGTCTTTTGTGTAGAATTGAAAACAGCTTCTCTGTGCCTTGATTTCTAGAAAGGAGTGCTTTAGGAATGGGGCTGTCCTGCGTTCTTAGGCTGTGTCTCCGAGGATTTGTAATCCAGTAAAAAGAATGAACACCCTACTTTTTCACCTCCTCTTTCGGTGCGTTGGTTACTATGTAAATTAATGACTATGGCAATTACAAAATTTTACTTGTGCACAGATTTTTCTAAGCATTTTGAATAACAGGTATAACATATTGAACATTTGCCTTTTTATTTGATTTTTTTTGAGTAGACAGTATATTTATAAAATTCAAGATTTAGAATCTTCTCATGCCTGTCGTCCAGTCATGTAGTTCTGCTGCTAGAAGCATCTGGTGACAGAGGCATTTATTCCTTACAAACAGACACGGATGAGTGTACACTTGTATACACATGTGTGTGTATGTGTGTGTGCGTGTGCAATACACAATACACACAAGGTCTACTTACACATTTTGTTATATAATTTGTTGCTTAAGTTGCATTTTCCAAACCTGAAGTTTCTTTTTCTCTTAAGAATATAACTTTGAGGGGCTGGAGAGATGGTTCAATAATTAGGAGCACTTGTTGGTCAGGCAAACGACAGGGAAAGGTTAGGTTCCCAGCACCCTCACTGGGTGGTTCAGCTGCTTTTCAGTCCAGCCCTATGGAATTTAATGCTCTCTTCTGACCTAGGGAGCCACCTTCCTGCATGTGGTACATATACAAGTATGTACACAGAATAAAGAAATAATAATGAGAATATATGGCTCAGAGGGTGAAGACGCAAGCTTGGGTCCTCAGAACTCGCCTGGACTCGGGGCTCCTGGAGTGAAGTGGGAGAATCCCTAGAGCTCATGGCTGCTAGTCTGGAATATGCAGTGGCAGACAGAGGCCTGAGGTTGTCGCCCGCCTTCCACATGCACCCTGCATCATCTCTGTCTCTCTCACACACACTTGAGAATTACCATCATGAGTCTGAGGTACATGTTTGTAGAAATCAAAATGATTTTGTAATACTGACTTTTGCTTTCTTGTAGCGTTGAAGGGCTCCATGCAATTGTTGTATCAGATAGAGACGGGGTGCCTGTTATTAAAGGTAAACTGAGTGCTTCGTGCATTTTACTTTTGACAAAATATGTGTTTTAAATAATTAGAAATGTGTAAAGCTGGGCTGGAGAGATGTCTCAGCGGTTAAGAGCATTGCCTCCTCTTCCGAAGGTCCTGAGTTCAATTCCCAGCAACCACACGGTGGCTCACAACCATCTGTAATGAGGTCTGGTGCTCTCTTCTGGCCTGCAGGCATACACACAAAGCAGAATATTGTATACATAATAAATAAATAGCTATAAAAAAAGAGAAATGTATAAAGCTTATTTCAACAAATTAGAACGATTGTTTTAGTTTTTTTTTTTTTTATGTACTTTTGTCTGTTGGAGACTGGATGTGGAACCTGTAGTGGGTTCCGTGTCTGCAGGACCTGGAATCTCTGCACGCGTTTACCATTTACCATAGGTGTTTTCATTTAGAAAAACGCAGCACGAGAGAGAAAGACGCCGTGTGACAGAACTCACGTGGAGAGGTTTTTTATTGGGTGAAAGTGAATGGGAAAAGAGTGGAGGGAAGAAGGGAGACTGGCCCCTGGGGACAGAAGCAGCAGAAGAGAAGAGACAGACAGACAAGGAGAAAAAGGGAGAAATGGGAGGTGGGCAGGGCCCTTTGAAAAGGGAACGAAGGTGCACAGGAGGTGCTCTAAGCAGTGCAGCTGAGGATGTAGCTGTCAGAACCCCAAGAGCAGGCCAGTACATGCCTGAATAGTAACAGCAGACTCAGTTTTTCATTGAAGATGCTTACGATAATGCCAACTATTAAATATATCTCTAGTATTGGGATTGAGTGTGCACGGCAAGCAGGCAGTCATCCTTGACCATATCACTAGTTCAGACTGGTGGTTTTTAAATCTTACAAGGGTTTTTGCTTCTTTATTAGAAATATTTTTTTAAAAACTTTAATGTCATAATTACTTTAGTTGATCTGAATATAAGAAGTTTTAGAAAATGCATCTTTATTAATTCTTGAGGCTGTCATGTGTGTACACAATGTGTTTTGATCCACCCAACATGAATTTGGCTGATTCTTAGTTCTTTTTAACATGCATTTGCTGTAACAGAGTCAGCATGAACTCAGATTGCTTACTTTTGTGTCTTGTGGCATGATCCAAGTGGATGTTTGTAGGCCATGGCTGCATGCTTGTTTTTGGCCAAGACCTGAATAATCACACAGAAACTATATTAATTATAACATTGCGTGGCCTATTAGCTTAGGCTTTTTATTAACTAACTCTTACATCTTAAATTAACCCATTTTTATTATTTTATATTTTATCACGAGGCTTATGGTTTACCGGTAAGGTTTTGGCTGGTGGCTCGTGTCTTTTTTTTTTTTTTTTTTTTTGGTGTTTCTATGACTCCGCCTACTTTCTCTCTATACTTTTGTTTAGATTTTTTTTTGCCTGGCGTCACTTGGTAAGCCATTGACTGAAAGCAGCTTTTTTAATAGACAGTGGCAATAAAAAATATTTACACCATACAGAGGGGAATTCCACATCATCTTCCCTTTTCTGTCTAAATAAAAAGGATGGTTTTAACTTTCACATAGCAAGATTACATACAGCAAAAAAGATATCAAGCAAGAATTACAGTTACAATATTTATATTTATTTTATTTTTTATTATAACTAAGGAAAACTATTTTTCTTCAACTTTTCAAAGACCCCAGAAGGATATAATATTATTTAAGTTAACAAGAAGTGCATTGTAAGCAACTTTTAAAACTCTAGAATTGACAGGGACATCTTGCTACCTGGACAGTCACCCAAAGTTCTTCTGTATCACTGGGGCATCCATCTTCAGCCTACAGGCACATAGTATCTGGCAGACTTTTCTATGAAGCAGGAAATTTGAAAAACTGTTTTGCTTCTATTGACAGTTTGTCAGTCAACTTTTTTGTTGCTATTGTTGTTGTTGTTTTTTTGGTCTTGTGGTTTACAGTTTCTTTTCCATGTCAGGACAGACAGACATATAATTTTAGACATTAGGGTTACCACATTCTTTAGAAGTCACCTGGGTTAGTTCTTCCATTTTACATATTAACATGATCAAGTACAGAGAGGACACGGCCTGTCTGGAGCCGTGCATTGAGTTGGTAACAAGCCGTGACAGGGTCCATTGTCCGTGGGTGGCTGTGGGCAGGTCACCTGTCTTTCCTCACCTCTCTAAAGAGGGCTCAGGTGACTCTCCAGCCCTTGTGTCATTTCACAGAATCTTGTGAAACACTGGAGCTCCCTGCTTAGCTGATGCGGCTAACCTAGTCCAGCCTTTAGTGAGCGAGGGGACCTGAAGCAGGCAGCCAGCTATGAAACTGTCAGCATCTACGAGAGACACTGCTTCCGGGGGTTTTATGAGAGCAAACAATTTTGTAGTTTTTCCCATTTTATTCTCACATATCCTCAGATGACCAGAATATTCACTTCATCATGGAAGTCAGCATATCTTCCCTGAGTTATGAATACTGAACTTCTGATTAAGTAATTTTTCCCATCTGAGTTGATGAGACCCAGGTGGTAGTCGTGGGGTTTTCAGCACTGTAAATGTACCTTTGTGCCTGGGTTTTATGTTCTTGTGCTCTTTTGAAAGTTGCTGTTAACCTCTTCCTGCCATGCTCTGCATCATTTTATTTACCGCTCATTCCACAGTGGCCAACGACAGCGCTCCAGAGCACGCCCTGAGGCCTGGCTTCTTGTCCACCTTCGCCCTTGCCACAGATCAAGGCAGCAAACTCGGGCTTTCCAAAAATAAAAGTATCATCTGTTACTATAACACCTACCAGGTTGGTATATTCAGTGTGTAGCTCAATGCTTCACTGGCTCATCTGTCATTTTTATATCTTTATGTTTTTGGTATAATTTTAATATGAGGGTCACAGATTTTTTTTTAAATTAGCCTTCAGAGTACTTATATTAAAACTAGGATTTTTTGATGTTTTTATATCAGAAAATAGTTATTGTGGAAAAATACTTAAAACTTTAAAAATTAAGAGCTTGTTAGCCTGTGAAGTGCGCATTAGGTCACTGTCAACTCCAGTAGATGGTGCCGTTAGCTTGCACAGCTGGGGATCCTCAGCACGGTTCCTCTGTTGTGACAGGTAAGAGCCTTGCCTGGAAAGTTCAGTGATCAGCTGTTTAACTCTGTTGTTCCAGCTGAATCTAGCTGTGTTTTCACCATGCAGCATGCGATTTAGACTTTATTCTCCTTCCAGGTGGTTCAGTTCAATCGTTTACCCCTGGTGGTGAGCTTCATAGCCAGCAGCAATGCCAACACAGGTATGTTAGAAGAATGGCCTGCGCATGCAGGCTGTGCTCTTTACAGTGCTGTCCTGGAGCCGGCCTGGTGGCCGCTGTTGTCAACCACCTGTATTTGTGCCGTGGCCACTTGATTCCTAGTTCCCACGTCTGCAGAATGGGGGCCTTCTCCATCATCCAGGGTATTTCCATATGCAAATGGTATGGTCAAGAGATTGGCTTGGTGCAGTAGAAGCTAGTCACACCCGCATTGCGGTTCGTGTGCTATTTATAGCTCACATTAAAACAGCCCACGGAAATGAAGGGTTACAGAACATAAGCAGGACACATTTGATGCTAAAAATGACTTCATTCTATAGACCCATCAGTTAAATTACAATTTTAAGGTTTTGAATACTTATAAACAAGTTGAGCATGACTGAGAATTTAGTTTCTTAGTTTCTGTTGCTGTGGTGAGATGCTCTGACAAACCCTGATGAGGGTTGATTTTAGCTCAGCATTCATAAGAAGAATTTTCTAACATTCTAATTTCTTAAATCTCTTTTAGGACTAATTGTCAGCCTAGAAAAGGAACTGGCTCCATTATTTGAAGAACTGATAAAAGTTGTGGAAGTGTCCTAATCTAACAATGGATTTGATGTCTTCCTTGTCTTCACCGCAACAACACCCTGACAGTCCAGCAATCTTTAGACCACAGTAATACTTTATCTATGTATCCAGAGGGCCGCTCTTCCACCTTACACTAAAGGAGAGCCTGTAGCTGTAATTTATAGACAGATCAATTGTTATATTTATGTGTATAAAGTCTTTTCTTACTTAGTGAGATCTGGGAACGCCACAAAAATGGTTCATTCTAGTGCAGCTCCCATGGAGTTAGTGTGGATGTCTGATAAGATAGAGTGGTGTCTGTCCCGTCATTGGGATCAGAGTGGCAGACGGATGCTCTGGAGCCAGCAAGCACACCTGCTGCACAGTTCTCCCACGTCACAAGCCACAGAGACGCTTATGAGAATAATAATGAGGGCGTATTTTTTTAAGATTATATTTTATTTCTTTGCATTGAGTGTGAGGAAGATGAATGGCTTACTAAAGTAATAAAGTAAGTACAATCACTAACCTCCTCTGTCTGTGATCTCCGGTAGATGAGTATTACTAATGGAGTTGATTCTTCTTCGAGGGTGCTGCTCTTCAGTGAGAACGCAAATCACTGCTCATGATGTCTCTTCTCCTCTTTCCGTAACAGTGCTTTAATGACTGTGTTCTTTCTACATTGGACATGCCGTGTTACTGAGTTCTGTTTCCAGTATCAGTATGCATATGAAAATGACAGTATAGCCATTTTTTCATACACAAATATAAATAAAATAGTATTTTTAAAAGCACAGAATGAACTTTGTATAGGCCTCTTCTTTCAGACTTTCAAATTTGTAATGGACATAATTAATTCTGTCCTCCAGCCACATGAATCAGCAGTGACTGCTTCTTGTGAGTGTTGTATTGGAGTTGTTTTACCTAGTATATACTGTCAAAGCCTCATCCATGGGTCTGACTGAATCACCAGGACCGAGGTTTTATCTGCTAGATATGCCTAAGAGGTTCAGGAGTGGCTCAGCCATGACTCCCCTTGTCAGTTTGTCGCTGGGGTGCGTCAGTTCACAGGCACTGACTGTGCACCAGTCTCCAGCGCTCCCACTGCACAGCCGTAGCGGCAATGGCCTGGAATGTCTGCTCTGGGGACAGCTTTCCATGTTGGAGTTGGTGCTAGCACAGTCCTCGGATTCCGCGGGAAGCAGTTTTCCTCCCCTCACTTTCTAGCACAGTAGGAGATGGATTGCGAGGAAGGGAACCAGGTGTGCAGGTCCTGTGAGAGTGGGACGGATGCCACTGCACAGCCACGAAGCAGGGCTGCTTAGGGCACGTGACAACAAAGTGCTCTCTGGTGAGCAGTAAACTGTCAGCTCTGAGATGCAGAATTCTTACTGTCTGGGTTACCACTTGATGTCTGGAAAGTTCTTGCCAGTAATGTGGTGCATGAAACGAAGAATAAAGTAGCAAACTTGTTATTGAGGTGATAATTGTATAGGTGGCCAGCTGTGGGGAAGGCTGAAGCAGAAGGGTGGAGTTTAAGGTCAGCCTGGGCAACTCTGGCATTCTCAAAGAAATTGGCTTGAAAGGATAGAGTTGCAGCTCAGCGACAGAGCACTCACCTGGCGGACGTAAGGCCCAGGACTCGATCCTCAGTACTGCAGGAAAGGGTGGTTGCTTCATCTGAACCCCCAAAGAAAGACGTGTGAGTAGGTGTGTGCACCCTGAAGATCATTAACTGTTCATGCTGCTGTAGAGTTTCTATCCCAGGGAAAGTCTGGATACATTATTGATCATCTGTAAAGTCCTGCAGATGGGAATCGCTAAATATTCTTTTGCACAGGTAACATAAAACTAGAATAGCTTTTAAAATTCCACCTATTTAGTGTTGTGTGTGCATACGCACGTGTACTTGTGTGATGGTCAAAAGACAACCTGGGAGTCAGTTCTCTCCTGTGTAAGTCTGCGGAGCGAGCTCAAATTGGCTACACTCACAATAACAATAAGTAAAAGTATTTTAAAGTTCTTCAAGCAACAAACAAAATGAGATAGTTGCGGAGAAAGTTGTATTGGTTCTCGAGCAGATCAGTGGGGCTTATATGTGTGTATTCATTATAAGGGTTTGGTGCAGGACCCGGGAAGTGCAACCGTGGAGCATGCCCAGAGATGGAGACCTTCTCCACTCAGGCTTCTTCCTCTCTGGAGATCTGTCAGCTGACTGCTTGAGTCCTGCCCCACTCTGTTAACTATACATTTGCATCCCAAAGTCTGCCAACCTCACAGATTCCTTCCCAAGTGGGCTCTCCCTCTTTTGCCTGTTGGACAGCTGTACTTGTGCTACTCAGAATGTGGTCCATAGTCCAGGCTGTTCTATACTGGTAGACAATAATTGATGCTTAACTACTTGCCTCTCCCTAGCACTAATAATAATAATAATAATAATAATAATAATAATAATAATAATCTATACTAAGTTGATGTCTGCTGAATCTGGTATTTAAAATGGGATATATAATTTCACTTCATTTTAATTTATTATGTGTATGTGTGTGTGTGGGGGGGAAGGCATGTGTATGGGTGCCTGTAGAGGCCAGAAGAGGCATTGGAGTTACAGATGGTTGTGACCTCTCTGATGTGGGTGCTAAGAACCTCTCTCTGGTCCTCTCTCCAGTCCCCTTATATCATTTTTAATGGCTTATAGAAGCCCTGCCTATGATAGGGCAGAAACGTTTTAAAAAGTATAACTGGTCCTCCAGCACAGGCGGCTAAACAACTCTACTTGATGCCATGGCTCAAACCACTGTGTGGTTTCCTTGGTGAGGAAGAGCTTAGTGGGGATCTGAAGTGTGGAAGGAGAGGGAAGTACGATCTTATGTCCTCTGTCACAGTCTTCCTATTGTCTGCCCCAGCGGGTTCATGTCATCAGGATGGGGGAGTGGGAGCTAAGGAACTGCTGCATACCACCTGAGTAGGATTGAGGGGATAGAGAGGGACCCCTCAGTGCTCCAGTACCCAGGGTCTCTGAAGCAGGGGCTGGCTTCTCCAGCTGCTCTAGCCTTCCCTCGCCCACGGGGAGATTTTACTGTCCTAGTAGGAATATGTGGGGCAAGATTTTCCCAGAAGGAATTTTGACAGTAATGGCTAACGTTTGGTTGTCTTAGGGGAACTTGGACAGACATACCTCACTCCTTTTCTCCCACATCCCTTTGCTCTGATCTGCCCTCTGACATAACACCTTCCCTTCTGCTATTTTGGATTTGGGAAACTAGCCAAGAGCCCCCGACCAGGCTCTTCTCTGGAGGTAAAAGCGTGATGCTTTCATTGGACAGCCAAGAACAGACAAAGCGTGTGACCAGGTCCTAGGCAAATAGGTGTGTGTGTGTAAGGTCCCCCATTTCCTGCCAGTCCCTCTAACAGATGGTCTGTGGCCCTGCCTACTCTCCACTGCTTTCCAGACCCCTCACAGCATTGACTGCTGTGTGTGTGCACACACATGTGTCTCTCTGTGTGTGTTTACTACTCTTTTCATATTCCACTAAATCCCCGGAGGAATGTCATATTTCCTTAGCTTCCAGTCTTTTGTGAAGTGCCATTGCTATTTAGGATACTAATCAGTTGTATTTAAATTTTAAAAGTCTATGGGAATCTTTCTGGAGAAAACATTCCCACGCTGATGAGAGTGGAAGAGAGGCAACAACACGGCTGGACCAAGGCCAGGACAGCTCCTGAAAGGCCTCCATCCTGGGTCCAGTTCGTAGTCTCATTTTATACTCTAAAACCACAACGTGGGTGGTCAAGCAAGCAAGATTTTACAGAAGCTTCCGGTGGCAGTCAGCAGGTTGTTAAGGGCAACCACCCATTGAGGCAGCTATTTTGCCAGGTCATTCTATTCCAGGTGGCAAGTGAAGTCATGCTTGTCAAAAAGGCAGTCCAAGCAGCGCCTTAAATAAACCACAATGTACCAGTGTCTAACAGGCCTTTTCCATTTTATTCCTCTTTGAAAGCAATAAATGTTATAATAATAAAACTGGACATGTACAACAAAATCATGCACTTTTTACTTAGTAAACAGAACCAAAGAATATAAATAAACAAATTTTACAGAAAGTAAAAAGAATATTTAACACACGAAGAAAAACACTTTTTTGTAAGGAAACAAAATGGTACATCTCAAGGAGAGGCCATTGTTAACTCCTTATTTTGCAAACTTGACACAATACATTTTATCTTGACATTGCTTTAGTCCATATAACACAAACATAACAAATTAAATGTCCCTCCTTGCAGTAAGCATTCTACCACTGATCCACAACCCAACTCCAAAAAACCTGTTGGAAAAAATAATTTCTGAGTCTTAACTGTATAAACAACAGAAAAAAAAATTTAACAAGGTACTATGAATGAGAAATACCAAAAATATTGTGGGTATGTCCTTGAAGGCATTCCGGAGGTGAGAGAGCTGACCTAATGACAGGTTTACTTCATTTATTTCATCCAAATGGATCAGAATTTGAACAGATTACTAGGATGTGGCAGAATGTGCTGCCCACTGCCTCTGTGCTGCAAGAACAGAGTTCCCCCAGTTCTCCACCTGCTGGCTCATCACCCTTCTAACTTCTGTCCTTAAAGCCACATCAACAGTGATAATAGAAGTCAAGACCTATTCATGGCCTCTGAACACCAGTCTGTCATTGGGGATCCTAGTTTGCAACAGCTATGTAACAGAAGTTGTCTTTTAATAATCTTGGGGTGCTTTACATAGGGCTATTCTCATACAGCCTACCCCGGAAAGAGACGGGGGCACCCTTTATGGGAAGTCTCTAACTTAGTGCTTATAAGTGTGTTATTACATTTGTAATGATAACCATAAACTAAAAGTCACCCACTGCTCATCACCTTTCAATGTGCAGTTTCTTGCTGTTTAAAACATCCTCACTCCTTACTATATGTTAATTTACATTTATCTATCTAGTTACCCACAAGACATGTAGTTCTCACAGTTTATCATTAGAAGTAAAGGATCCACTGGATTCTTATTTTAAAAAAGCAATTACTGTGTGTGTTATGTGTGATGTGGGGATCACACATGCTGACATACATATAGAGGCCGAAGAGCATCTTTGTGGAGTTGGTTCTCTCCTTCCACCTCGATGTGAGTTTTAGGGATCCCTCTCAGGTTGTCAAACATGGCGTGGCACCAGTCTGATTTCTAAGCCTCTTAAAAGCAAAAAAAAAAAAAACAACAAAAAACAAAAAACAAAAACATGATGAACATTTTCTCATTTTTTGGAAATGTTTTTTAAATTTTTTTTCTTTTTTTTTTTTTTTTTGCATCATGTGCATGTCTGTGAGTATGTGTGCCTGAGCGCAGGTGCCCAAGGAGGCCAGGGGTATCCGATCCCTCTGAAGATGGAGAGATGGGTGTTTGCAAGCCATCTGATGTGGATCCTGGAAACTGAACTCAGGTTCTCTGCAAGAGCAGATGCACATTTAATGACTGAGCCACCTCTCCAGCCCTTCTTGAGGTTTTTGTATATAAACAAAACGAAAGCAGCCCCTCCTTTGAAAGTCCTTGGCATTTATTATCTTGCTTTTGCTTTCTTAAAGAGCCTGCGCTCCCAATGTATTGCCGCTTCCTTGCTGTTTAGAACACATCTGAAGCTTAGTTGTGCTGACCGTGACTTGGGGCAGGAAGCCAGGCAACTAAAGTCAACAAGCCTAAGCCACTGAGAGAGCAAACCAGCTCTTCATCTTGTGCTGTGTTCTGAGTGGCTCCACCTGGCAGTGGAGGTTAGGCAGTTTGCATCAGCGGGGTGCTGCTTCTGTGTTCTTGAGCAGATGGCCGGGTCCTGCCAGCTGTTTTCCGTGTATCAGCAAACAGCATCCAGCTCCAGACCACGGTCTGCTTTGTGTTTGTTTTTGTTTGAGGAACTCCCTTAATGACCTTTCCTCTGAAGCCTGCCACAGACCAGAGCACCTGGAACATTCCACCTTGCCCTTGAGCCAAGAAAAGCCAAGAAAGTTCTATTTGAAGATGAATGACCGAGTTCGGACAGTGTCCTCTCCTTGATCCAGCTGTTTTCTTATTTTTGACTGTAATAAAACATAGGTATAGTTATCATTGAGTCACTTGAGATACAGACGGAAACAGTAAGGAAGATATGCAGCTATAGATTACCCCTCTTAATTGTTTGTTTTTAATTCTCCCTCCAGACATCGTAGAATGGCTTTACAGTGTGTACACTCTGGGAGTTGATGTACCGCTTCCGGGAAAGCGTGATACAACACTGCTCAAACAAAAGAAAGATTCAGGTCTGCGTTTGTGGCCTTAGAAAGATAGTGGAGGGATGAAAACCAGCAGAAAAGGGCTGTTTTCTTAAAGCTCCAGTTGTTCAGGGAGAAGTTGGAAAGTGTGTATTTGAACTACTTTTTAATTTAAATTTTCTATAATAACCAGGTGTCACTAGGATAATAACAAAGTACATGGAATTAGAAATGGGTCATTTCAGCCCAGACTGGCCAAAACGAAGCTTTTCCCTGCTCAGAATCAGCACGGGAACAGTCTCAACATGAGCACCATATTATCTTGGATTTCAAACCAGAGACAAAACAAACCAAAAGACAAAGCAAAACAAGCAACCCAAAACACTTGGATGCTCAACAATGTTCACAGCATGCCCCCCTTTTGTTTTTTGTTGCTTTTTTTTAACCAGGGAGGACTGAGGACTGTTTTTATCATTGAGCCATAAGTTGGGCCTTAAGGATATCCATTTTCAGACACTGCCTATAGATACAAGTTACAATAATTACCCCCCACACACAAACAAACAAACACACACACGAGAGAGAGAGAGAGAGAGAGAGAGAGAGAGAGAGAGAGAGAGAAGGAAAATTGTGCTTTGCCTTTGAATACACCAAGGGTTTCAATTCAGTAATATGTAAAGGCTTGTTCCCAAGGGTGGTGGCATCGATCATTGATGTGATCAGGTCATTAAAAGAAGGGACTTACTAGGAGGTCTTTATGTTACTGGTACACTGCCGTTGGAGAGAGTTCTAGAAGTCTGAGCTTGACCCATACACTCTCAACCCTACTTGATTTCTGGCTTTCTGTTTGGAAGTGTGAGGTTTCCATCCCCCACATGTCCCTGTCTCTATGTTTCACCAAGAGGTCTTCCTCAGAAGCTAAGTGTGTGTTAAACCCTTGAACCTCAAACACTGTGAACCCTGGGTACTTCATAAGTAGCTTGCCTCAAGTATCTCATGAGAGAAACAAAAACCAGACTAATATATTACTTCTGTGGAATACTCCTTTTATACACTGAGAAAACCTGCCACTCGGATTGTTTCCTAAAGGGCTAAAAGGCCAATAGGTGTGCAGGTAGAGGCTAGGCAGGGAAGAAGGAGGCGGAACCACCAGCCAGATGCAGAGGAAGCAGATGAACATGCTCTACTGTGAAAAGGTACTGTCATGTGGTAGAGCCCAGACAAGAAATAGGAATTAATTTAAGAAGAAAGAGCTAGTTAGTAAGAAGTCTAAACTATCAGCTGAGCATTTATAATCAATAATGAGTCTCTGTATGATTATTTGGAAGCCAGGTGGTGGCACAGAGCTGACCGGTGGCCTCAATGAAAAATTCTGCCAACATACCACACTTACAGGAAATTTTAGAAAGCTTGTACTTGGCTATCAACTCTATAACGTACATGGTGAAAAGTATAAAGGCTGGCAAATTATCTTAACTGTCTTCCCCTTAGGGAAGTACACAGCAGGAAGATAAAACACCTTAGGTTCTTGATACACACAAGGTGCAGCTTATACTGGGAGCCAAATTCCTTCCCCAGCTCCCTCCTTGACAATTTAAAGGCTTTCCAAGTCAAGGTTCCTCTCTGAGACCCTCCCATCCCAATACTCTCTTCCAGACAAAATGGGGCTGGCCAACACGCCTTACACCTGACTGCCAGCAGCTGCAGCTAAGGTTGGCCTGAAACCCAAGCACAATGCCACCCTTCCTTCTCACATTTTCCACCCTTTAAGCACACGCAGATTATCCTGCAAGGTCACAGACAGACTCCCCATTGGTTCTAGGGCCTGCTCTGATGGCCGAAGTCTACCGGCAGTCACCAGCATGTTCGTTATCAAGACTAGACGTCGGGAGACTTATGCCACTCACCAGCTTCCATCGCAGTATTTTGATCCACTCATCAGCTTCAACTCCTGTCTTTGCACAGAGATAGAATGTCCTGAACGGAAACACCAAGCTGACGAAACAAAAGTGGGAATATGTGGTAGTCAGCATGGCTAGTTGTACAGACCCTGGTTCGACAGTGTGAGCTCCTTCCAAGGGAAGAAGAATGGATGAGGGCTCCCACGGTTATCATGGTGATTTTGAACAATTGGTGCATACCGAGCAATTTCTACCAGCAATGACAGAAATACCTAGGAAGCTTTAAGTTTCTATTATTACAGGTGAGGTTTATAGTCTCCCGAGAGACTTCAAAGAAGTGTATGCACACCCCCATCTTTTTTGCCGTCTATATCTTCTGTGGAAAACAAGTCTACTTAGCTGAGCCCCCAGGGGTCCAGAGCCTATGAATGGTTGAATGAGTTCTAGCTGTGTAGTTAGCTCACAGTCTAAACCTAGCCATCCTGCCTCTATGTTGAAGCCACTGTGTGCTCTGCAGCTGGAGGCACTGACATCAATGTCCTTGTGTTAGGTCCATGTCCCTCCCATCCAGACATGTACACATGGAGTTGACTTCTATTCCTTGGCTTAACAGACTTTTGGAAACATTTCCTTTATGAAAGCAACTTACCAGAAACAGTTTACTCTTTCCTGTGAGTAATCAAACTGAACGGCTGAGCACTCCGTTAGGTCTAGGATCCGAATTGGTTCTGGTGACTGGGGAAAAAGGGAAACCATAATAAACACACACGTGCGTCCATCACTTACCCTTTAACGAGGTTTCTGCTGTGTGAAAATCTCAATTTCCGTTCATGAAGATAACGGATGATTATAGCACAATTAATAAAAACCCAGAGACAGAAATTGGGGTTCAACCGGAAGGTCAGAAAAGCAAAATTGGCAGCCACTAGTTCTTACCTCTATTCTACCTCAGTCCAAAATGGTGATCCTGCCTCCAGGAATCTCAGAATGAGACTGAGCCTGAGAGCTGTTTCCTCCCATCTTATATTCTTCTCTAGTGCCGGGAGGGATTAAAGGCGTGCACCACTACCTCCTGGTTTCTGTGGTTAACTAGTGTGGCTACTGGGATTAAAGGTGTGTGCCACCACTGTCTGGTCTGTAAGGGTGATTAGTGCAGCTGTTTTACTCTCTGAATTTCAGGCAAGCACTATTTATTAAAATTCAAATGAAATGTCACTATAGATGATGGGAAGGCCTGGCAAAGGGAAGCACACCCCGGGATCTGGGAGCTAGCCTTTCACAGGCTAAGCAGTGGGAAGACGTTGTTGGGCTGCACAGGTAGCTCACTGTTTAAGAGGGTGACCTGCTCTTGCACCCACATCAGGTGGCTCAAAACTGCCTGTAACTCCAGCACCAAAGGGTGCCATGCCTCCAGCCTGGTACCAATACTCACGTGCACACACCCCAAAACAGATACATACTCACGCACATAACTTAAAACAGACCTACTTTAAAAAAGATGTTGCTTTTGACAATTTACATCAGACAGAGATAGATTTTCAACACATGGAAAGGAGTGGAATTTTCACCCATCTTTTTATAAACTTCTACTTTTACAGAAAATTTGTATACCAAAGCGAAGGGAGATCATCTTAAGGAGGCGTGACAAAATGGACCCGAGCAATGAATGTGTGTTTAATAAAAGGGGACACTGGTTCATAGGGACAGTTAATAAAGTATGGCAAGGGAGGGATCCATGGCCCCAAACAGAGGGAACCGTGCACTCCACAGTTTGCACTGACCCAAGAGGCAAACTGCTGTTCACAGACTCAGAGCAGATCAGGGATCAAGAGCCCACACCTTGGGCTCACGAGATGCTTGTGGCTAAAGATGCTTGTGATCAAATCAAACCCGACGACCAGCGTTTGATTCCCAGGAACCACATTTCTGAAGGAGAGAAACAACTCCTACAGCTTGTCTTCTGGCCTCCAAATAGACTTCCTGGCAAGTGTGCCCCACCCCCACCCCCATTACAAACAGATACACAGGGAAAAGAGCTCAGGTCTCTAAACTCTTCAGAGGATGCCGGGAACCTTACAGAACTGAAGTCTAAGGGGGAGCGGGGTGCTGTTGTCTTCCTCACCATTTGATCTTTGAAATATTTCAGCTCGTTCCTTTGCAAAGTGAACCATCTTGTTTTCCAGGTCTGAGGAGAAAAAAAAAATTAAGTTTTGGGTACAGAATATCTAAACTTGACAGTTTATTTTCATTTAAAAAGCATATGAATGATTAGATAAAATACGCCTAAATTATTTTCATGTACAAATTTTGAGAAAAGTTTCAAAATAGCTATAAAAATAATATGTTCTAAGATCACAATAGAAATAGCGCTGGTTTATTTAAATGAATAGATGCAACTGTTGTAGACATTCAAGGTGACTCGTAATGAGCTACTCAAGTTTCTATTTTATTAATACAATAATAAAAATACATATCAGTTTTGAGAACCTCCTGTGAGCTATATCCCCACATCAAAAATTTACAGATATATTCATGTATATTCTTGAAATTTTATTTATATATAATGTATATTGAGTAAAATATAACTAACACATATAAAGCATTACCATCTATCATTATTATCATCATCATTATTACTATTATTTCACAAATAAGCCAGTTGAGGTTTAGGAACCTCTAACCACATGACCCTCTGAATTTTACCTGAGGACTCGTGAACTGACAGCAAAAACTATAGCTTTTTCCTTCCTATGCCCTAACAAAGCTCTGATCCGTCTCAGCTGCCAATGTGCCCACTTAAAAGGGACAATAGAAGATTCAGGAATAAGCCATCCAGGCTAGACATGGTTGTACATGCCTGCAATCCTACCACGGAGGGCACTGAGGAGTAAGCCTGCATATCTGAGGTCCTCCTGGGCTGTGAGTGAGACCCACAGTGAGAACTGAACAGGAAACAAACAAATCAACAAGTAGGTTACGAATAGGACTGCTTCCCATCCTCGGGGAGCACGCAGCCCAGGGAGGACACGGAGGACTGTGTGGCCAGGAGAGAGCCAAGCAGCTGTTCCCAGGAAAAGGAGGGGTAAGGACTCTGACCCCTGAGATAGACAAGAGCCGACAGGGCACGAGATGACAGTGGCCACACACCGTGGCAACGGAAGAGAACTTAAAGGACAATTGCAGATAGGGGGCAGTCAGGCGACCTGGACGAGTAAAGACCTAAACTATGTTTACCTTGGCACGTTATAAGGTAACTTTCTTAAAGCACCAGTGAGGTATTTGGCCTACCTTTCAGTAAACATTGTATAAAAGTTTGGCTTTTTGTAAAACAAAAACAAAATACAAACAAACCCAAAAAGAGCAGAAATGTTCAAAAGTTAATTTATCCCATTTATTCTTAAGCCTTCCACTGAGCATGCTACATGGGGCTTCCTTTTTAATATGAACTGTAGGTTACTCTTACACGGGGCTTTGCCAGAGAACTTGAGTCAAGTCATTTTTCATTAAATGTAAGTGGCTTCTTAAAATAAGTTTATAATTTTCCTTTTTAAAAAAAATTCTGTCAGTGTCAAGAATTGAGCCTCTGGTTGCTGTCTTCCCTGTGGTGGCACGAGCAAACCACGCTCCCTTACCTTGACCAGGCCGCCCTGCTTGGTGAGGTAACCTTCTTTGGTGCCAAGCTGCAAAAGAAAAAGGCCGGAATGAAGTCCAGAACCGTCCCTCGTTTGGCCTTATGCTCCTGTCCTGTTTTATCTTGCAGAACTCGGGGTGAACTCATACTCGACAGAAGCACTTTGCCCCCCCCCCCCCCCCCCGCAACCCCCAGTTAAAGCTGATCTTTGGCTGGTCCCCTTTCATTCTTCAAACTCTCCCAGGTGCTGCAGGAGGCTGGCTCATCTGTTGGTGATTTGAAAACAGCCACATTGGGAGTATGGTGGGGCGGGGTGAAAAGGGAGGGGGAAGGGAGAAGGGGAGAGAACGTGAGGGAACTGGATGCTCAAGAAGGGAGAAGGACAGAGAGAGAAAGAAAGGAAAGAGATTGAGGGTGGCTTTAAAGGGATAGTGAGAAATAGAGCACTAGAGAAATGCCCAGGAATCCACAGGGATGACACCAGCTAAGACTCCGATCAATAGTAGGGAAGGTGCCTGAACTGGCCTTCTCCTGTAATCAGATTGAGGACTACATTGATTGTCATTATAGAAGCTTCGTCCAGCAACTGATGGAAGCAGATACAGAGATCCACAGCTAAGCACTGGGGCCAGCTATTGGAGACCAGCCCAAGAGAGGGAGGAGCGATAATATGAGCAAAGGGGTCAAGACCATGATGGTGATACCCACAGAAACAGCTGACCTGAGCTAGTGAGAGCTCACTGACACTGGACTGACAGCTGGGGACCCTGCACAGGACCAAACTAGGCCCTCTGAATGTGGGGGACAGTTGTGAGGCTTGGTTAGTCCGAGGGGCCATTGGCAGTGGGACCAGGATTTATCCCTAGTGCTTAACCTGGCATCTTGGAGTACATTCTCTTTGGAGGGATACCTTGTCAGCCTAGATATAGGGGGGAGGGCCTTGGTCTTGCCTCAAAGTGAAGTGTCAGACTTTGTTGACTCCCCATGGAAGCGTTAACCCTTTCTGAGGAGTGGAGGGAGTGGAAATAGACATAACTCTGTAAAATGAGAAAAGATTGTATTAGAAAAATTCTTTTTTCTTTTTTCTTTTTCTGAGACAGGGTTTCTCAGTAGCTATGGAGCTAGTCCTGGAACTTGCTCTGTAGACCAGGCTGGCCTCGAACTCACAGAGATCCGCCTGCCTTTGCCTCTGCCTTCCAAATGCTGGTATTAAAGGTGTGCATCGCCACCTCCTGGCTAAAAAAAAAAAAATCTTAATGAAAACAAAAACTTCCACAGGTGGTGTTTGTTAGTGCACATTGTGAACAACAGCAGCTTGTGATGTCACAGGGAACCCTAGTCTATAAGCGCTCATATGTAATGGGTGCTCGGCACCCATTGGCCTTCAGCCCCTGTACCTGTCAGCTCTGCACTCTTGGGTTCACAAACCATAGATTGAAACATTTGAAAAAGTCATTAGTCTGTACTGAACATGTATATATCCTTTTTCTTATCGTCTCCTAAACAGTCTTTTAACCATTTGCCTGGCGTTTATATTATGTTGGTGTGATAAGTCTGATTTTACGTGCGTGGGAAGATGTGGATAGTGTAGGCAAGCACCGTGCCTTGTATACAAGGCTCTTGGACACTCGAAGACACTGGCACCCGTGTGGGGCCTTGGGAATCCTGACTGACACTGTGAGATCACTACAGTCGGGACAGCATATTAAGAAAAGTAAAAGGATTCCTTTATTTCAGGGCCGGGTTTTTTAAAGCTTTAAGAGAGAACTAAGAAGCAGCATTATCAATATTGGTCTTATTCCGTAGTCTTCTTTCTCCTACATGCTCTTCTCCACTCCAAAGCCGTCTCAGGAGAATCACATCCCACGGGGAAGATATTTAGAAGTGCCAATGTATTTATGCCTCATCTATTCAAGACGGGATTTGAAATACAAATGTATCACTGATTTTAATCTATGCTTCACTAGTTCAAAGGTAACAGCAGTACTTAGTACCTATGAATTATGGAATGGTAGGGAAATCTACACAGGCCAGGGCCCTAAAATGAAGACCTTCACATTCCTGTAGCCTTCCGAACAGACTGAATTCCTGGAAGGTTATTTTGTTCTAATGTGTTCCCCTAACGTATCTTTATAGAGAAGAAAACAAGTAAGAATTGGGAAATGATGCTGTTGATGGCAAGGTTCTTTTTATGGGAGTTTCCAGAGTGTCCTTTCCTGAGGTGAATTCTTCCTACCAAAGAGAAAGAGGAACCCCCAAAGTTCCAAGAACCAGAGATGAGAAATAGCCCAGAGCCGCTTCTGACCACAGGAAGGTGAAGATGAACTTCCTATATGTGCTTTTCAACGGTGCTGATCAATACAGCTGAGGCTGACGTCACATAACCACTGTGATTTATTCTGACGTTAAAACTAAACTAAGGGGCTGGAGAGATGGATCAGTGGTTACAAGAACTTGGTCTTCCAGAGGACTGGGTTCAAGTCCCAGCACCAACAAAGTAATTCACAACCACTTGTAACTCCAGTTCAAGGGGAACCCAGGGCCTTTTGGACCTCTGGGGGCACGAGGCAAGAAGCATGTGGAGCGCAGACATACATGCAGGGAAAACATGCACAGCATACACTTCATTTTTTTAAAAATTTAAATTTAAAATTAAAAGAAAAAATTAAACTGGCTTAAGTATTAAGAAAACTTTTAAAAATTATCATTTTGGGTCGTTACAGGTAATAGGGAGATAAAATGATTAAGGGTAAAATGTTTGGTAAAGGGTCCTGATAGGATTAGCCACTGAATTCAAGCTAAGGGATCATGATTCTCAACGTTACCTCTGTCTAATGTATTAAGCCGAGTATTTTCTGTGGTGTTGGCAGGTGAAATGCTGAAGATGGAAGGGTCGGGAATACAATTTGATAGAGTCTCCAGATAGAAGAACTGAAAGAATCGTACGGCAAACCCTTAACCACGCTATGCTCTGTAGCCGGGGAGATGTTTGAAACAGCTCCAGGTTAGGAACAGCCTAGATGCTCTGCGCTAAAGGACTAGCCAAGCTGCCTCCCTCACTGAGGGCCATGAGCATCCAAAGTCCTCAGGGGGGATGAGTGTGGGGACATTCGGGCACCTTGGCACAGAGCCAAGCAGAGAACAGGGAGAACTCATGCGGATGGCGATGCCATGGGAGCAGCAGCTTGGTGTGTACACTGAAGCTGGGCCGGGTGAGGATTTCTTTCCAAACAGGTGGCGGTGGGCAACCAGTGCGGTCTCACAGAGAACGCGGTAAAGCAGCCATCTGCACTGAGAGCGCAGTGGCAGAGGCCTGGAACTGAGGGGGAGGCGAGCAGGAAGTCTGAGTAGGGGCATGGGCAGCAGCAGACTGCTTACAACTCTCTTGATCAGCAAATTCCTGATAATGGGATCTGTATTCCTCCTGTGGGAGAAGGGTGTCACAGACATGCAAAGGGGAAAATCTAGAATGAGCCTTGTGGTTTGGGTAAAATTTTCAGTCAGTGCTGTGTATCCATGGAGGGAAGAATAGATGGACTGATGGACCAATAGACAGATAGAATAGCCATCAAGGCATAGGTACACATGCTGACACGTATCTTTTCCTTATCCCCGAGTAGGTAGGAAAGTGACATTTCAATCAAACAGGTACACGTGGCTTAGACACAAAGTTGTAAAGTATCACTTTAAAAGACAAAGAAGAACAGGTATTTTTTTTTTAAAGAAAAATAGTTGATTCTAGATATGAGCACAAGGAAAGCATTGTCAAGTCTGGGGCACCTTGCTAAAACGTTAGGAGGCCATAGACACAGAAGCCGTCTTGAAAGGGCTCTTACTTACCAAATACCACACAATTTTGGAAAGATCAAAATAAATTGGGATGGTCAGGATTTTAATCCATCGATACACAAAACACTGGATAAAGAGAGAAATGGAGAGCTTTCCCTATGGCAGCCTGGCAGGCAGTAAACATAACGAACCAAGAGCATCCGAGCTCACCACTCTCAGTAACCGGAGCTGTGGTTAAGGAAGCCAATAAACACCAACAGATGGACCGAATTTTAGCATGGAAAAGAGTGTGCATATTCATCCCCAGTAGCTTTCCTGGAATTTTTATTAATGACAAAAAAACAATAAAGTGCTTCTAAAGCAAAGAAAGCTGGCGATACCTCTCACGTGATCAAACCTGTTCTCATGGGAGAAACTGTAAATCTGGTGGGTCTGAGGACGCAGGAGGGGCACTACAGTCCTTGTCTCCCGTGGTAGTCTCTACCAAGCCACATACCCCAACCTAATCACGACTTAATGAGAACAAGCCAACATGGGAAATAGTTCACAAGAGGATTGGCCTTTAATTTTCATATGTGAGAGTGGGGGAGACTCAAGGAAAAACAGGAGTTCAGACATGAAGGATGCTCAAGAGACAAGAAGGATGCTCAAGAGACAGGAGCCACAAAACTGAGGACAGGATCTTTGTGCTCTAAAGGACTGCCTTGGGAAGCAAACACCACTGAGATCTGTGGATACAAATATGTGAAACTGTGGTATAGCAACTTCCTAATTTGGATGGTTGTGTGTGGTCATGTAAGCAAGGGTCTTTGTTTGTAGGAAATGCACACTGAAGTGTTCAAAATGATCAGGCATCCTATAAGCAATGTATTCTTAAATGACTAAGGAAAAAAAACAAAGCTTTTTGACTGTTCTTTCAGTTGTTCTGTAAATTTGAAATTGTTTCAGATTTTAAAATGCCACGAAAAAAAAAAGCCCAACAGAATGACTGTTCTAAGTAAACTGATATACTCAATAGTAAAATACTTAATTGTATTTTAGGAAACAATATAATGTATGGAAGATTTTCACAAGGTATAGTTAAATATACGTAACTCTGTAGTGAAGAACCTAAACGCGTGCACACACCACACCCACACACGAGGGATACACGTGGACACATCCAGTCTATCATCAGGTTGTCTTATACCTTCACAACATCTTTATACCTTCACAACATCTTGAAGGTGACCAGCTTATGTCCTATGAGGTCTCCTGCCC